TTAACATGAGACAGGTGCACTCAACCCAAAATGGACGAGGTACATTTTGCTTCATCCCGTGTCATTATCAAGCAGAACTGTCACGGTGGCTAAAGCCATGAGATTGTGTTTGTAACAAATGACTGTATTTATAGGCATTCATCAGCAAGGTACGCTCAGAAGCATATCACAGATGATGTGCCGTGAGAATGTAAAAATCCCTATGCAAGAGATTAGCAGATTACTACAATTATCCTCCTAATGTCTCTGTAAGGAGGGGATGTGCCTCGATTGTTATTTTGCAGGTTGAATACAAAGACACATACAGACCAGCTGACACCACCCGTGTCACACAGAAAGTCTGTAGCAGAGGAAGAAATAGAACTGACATCTCCTAACTTCATTAATAACGCTCTTCCCACTGAGTAATAACTTTCTAGATTTTCACTCTATGGTGCTCTGTTGAAGTTTCATCCAGAGCAGAAGGATAAATCCCAGATATATAGATATATAGATATATAGATATATAGATATATAGATATATAGATATATAGATATATAGATATATAGATATATAGATATATAGATATATAGATATATAGATATATAGATATATAGATATATAGATATATAGATATATAGATATATAGATATATAGATATATAGATATATAGATATATAGATATATAGATATATAGATATATAGATATATAGATATATAGATATATAGATATATAGATATATAGATATATAGATATATAGATATATAGATATATAGATATATAGATATATAGATATATAGATATATAGATATATAGATATATAGATATATAGATATATAGATATATAGATATATAGATATATAGATATATAGATATATAGATATATAGATATATAGATATATAGATATATAGATATATAGATATATAGATATATAGATATATAGATATATAGATATATAGATATATAGATATATAGATATATAGATATATAGATATATAGATATATAGATATATAGATATATAGATATATAGATATATAGATATATAGATATATAGATATATAGATATATAGATATATATACACACCCCAATAAAATGTGGAAGTGGTAAGTTCATTCAAAGAGATGAAGAGATTTATAGTGGCAAATTAAAATATTATTAATAGTTTGGCTAAGGGTGGCTAAGCAATCATGATAACCATCTCCACACACCTGAAACCTTTAAAGGAGAAGGCACAATGAGTTACAGTGGAAGTATTTTGAGGAGCTGCAGAAATTCGTTGGGGTGAGATTTCCCATGGTGCCTATCTTCAGTCAAGGAAAGAATATTCATTTCTTACAGCAAAAGGGGATTTAGGACGCATTGAATTTTCTTTTCCTAATGAAAAATATTTAGCAGAGTGAGTATTTTTGTCTGTTTCCCAGTGCCAAGTACAGTGTCAGCAGAAAACATCTACAAATAAGAAGTATTAGAATGGGCAACGTCTAAGTTATGAGACACTGGATCAGAGTCAGTATTAAAGACAAATCTTTAATATGCTCTCATAATATGAAGTGGCTTTGGGGGAATTTACTTTCCTGGCTTCTTCTAAAACTGGTTTTGTCTGCTTGAATTTTGTAGAGAGCCTGTCAAACTTTCTTCCTATCTGAGCAATGGGAACGTAAAGGCATGAGCACACCCCTCCCTATTTTGTCACTGTGGCCCAGATCTTACCAGGAAGACTTAATTTAATTTTCTAAGGAATAAAGTATGAATTCAGAAAGTGATGATGTAAATTGTCTGATACACCATCTGGCATTCTAGATACTATTTCAACAATGACAGTCTTTTAGAGAAGCTTTTATGGACAAATTAAAAAAAAACCAACCAACCAACCAAACAAACAAACAAACAAACAAAAAAAACAAAAAAAAACAAAAAAAAAAAAAAAAAAGGACTGCTTTTCATGGTAAAACAATAATCCATACAGCCGCTTGTAAAAATAGTGGAGGAAACAAACCACAAAATTCAGAAAACAGAGGCAGTGGTGGCATTTGTAAATAATTCAAGGGGAAGATGAGGCTCCAGCTATGAGAAATTCAGTTTTGTTCCACTGCAGAAAACATTGAACTGGCAGGCCCAGACTGATGGAATAAATCTCTTCTATTAACATGAGAGATAATTTTATGTAAATATATTGGGAGACCTTCTAGCAGAGCTGAACGTCTTAGCAGTCCCGCTTAACTTGTTTGTGGTGTAATTGCATTTAGACCAAGGTCTTCTGAAGGAAATGGCTGACTAAATTAGCATTAACCAGGTTCCTGGGGGGCTCGGTGCGTTGTGGGTAGTCGATCTTGCCTCCAGAAAGGACATGTTGACACTAGAAAAAGCCAGCTGCTTCCAACACACTGTGTTAACTGTTTTTCCCAAGTGGGGCAAATTTTGTCACCCAGGGAAGGAGAAGATTTGAGACTCTAATCGGGCAGAGTCTGGGCTTTGGTTTTCTTCCAGTTTCCATCCCTCCTGCTTTTAACTGAATTCAGATTTGTGCATGTTGCTCTAGATTCTATTTATCACTGTGGTTTGGGGAAAGATGTCCCCTTTGTGGGAACATCTTTCCTTATGGCATGTAAATAAAGCTATTGTTATAGTCCTCGGGAGAATGGTGGATGCAGCTGGGCTTGCTGACAAGCTGCTTCTCTGAGAAGAGATGCCAGCATCGTCCGAGTTAGTCAGCATGTAGATGTGCTAGCAGAGTGCTAGCAGAGTTGGAGTGCTGTGAAGCATCGTCTAGAATGGGAACTGAGTCTCTTCCTGGGAGGTGGGAGTTCAAATGCATTTGTTACAGCTGCCAAGGCAAGAGGAAGCTCCTTATTTGTCCATGTTGTGCCGGTGCTTGTTGTTGTAGAAATAGTTGTCAGTGATATGTAATGGACCAGCTGCTTGCTGGTATAAGCACATCCCTCCATTAACATGAGCTGAGGATCTAGGCCAATGTGCTTGCAATATTACTTAGAAGTTTGCAACTGCTTGGACATGTGTTTTGTGTAGGACAGCAGGAGAGACATCTGCAACATGTTGTATTTTTTCCTTTGCTTGCTTTTAACTCTTGGGAGGAAAAAAAACCAACAGGTGGAAGTGTTCTTTTTGGGTTCACAAAAAAATGTATGATCTTGTCTCTCAAGTATTTTAAGATATCTGTAGTCCCAGTGTTGGCTTGAATATGCTGCCAGTAATTCAGAATACCAAGTCCCTCATGCTCAGGTCTTAGTCTTCAAGCAACAGTCTGTAGCAATTCCTTGCCTTTCACAAAATGTGCAGCCATTTGATGAGAAGCGGAGAGAAGACAGTTTCAAACTCTTCCTCAGGTCTCTCTGAAAGATGAAAAAAAAAAAGATGGAGTGGAGTGGAGGGGATCATGGAAAAATCTGGGAAGGTCTAGCTTCTGCTCTTAGCCCAGACGTGATCAGACACACTCAGTTTGTGCCAAAATTGCACTACAGTTGGTGGTGACCTGTGGACTTCAGCAATTCCGAGCGTTGACATTTCTCCGAGCATGTTCCATGGTATCGTGATCTAACTCTGCGTGTTAGAGAGTGATGTCCATAATACTGTACTGGAATATTATTTAAGATTTGTTGTATATGGGAAGCTGAGTTAGAGCCTTCAGTGTGAGAAGCAATGGAAGGAATATTAAAATGGAATGGAATATTAAAAATATTAGGTCCAAGCTGGGTCCAAGCCTTTTCCTACATAACTTTTAACAAGTCAGTGATGATATATCAGAGAAAACTCAGTGACAGGAAAATCATTTCCATGATCTCATTTTCCTGTGGCCTGTTCCAAAATTGTGTATGAATCTGGTCACATTTTAGATTGCTGACACATTCTGGTAACGCTCTGAGAATTTTTGTTGGAGCTCTTCATTTAGATCAGTAGGAGTTTTGTTTAAGACTCCCTGGCAAATGGTCTGTTGTCTGTGCTGTGGAATATACAAATAGCGCAGCCCTTCTTAAATAGGAATTATACTTTATCTCTTTGTGTTACAGAGTTTCAGATTTTTAGGTGGACGGTAAGAAGATAACTTGATCTTTCCCTGATGATCCATCTTTATAAAATCATTTTTACAAAACGTTGCGGGTATCATCCTTTGCCTCAGTGAACCAGCAAAGCGACATTTCTCAGTTGAACTGGGTAGATAGCAAGTGCAGCTGAGATGATTTACTCTAACTGAGATCTGGTCCTGCACCTGTAGAAACATTGGCTTTCAATCTCTGCTCTCCAGCAGGACAGCAGTTAGGAAAATCACTCACTGGGTCACGTTAGCACACTGACACCACAATTTGCTGTTGCTGCTCAGAAAAATAGTTACCTTCAGCCAAAAATTGGGTTCAGACACTCTCACAGACATGTGATGCTTTGTCTTTATAGGAAGCTCCGAAGGTAGCAATGTAGTAATGACTTAGAGGTCTGGAAACAGACTTTGGAATAAGAACTTAGAAAATCTGTCTTTGGCTTTACTGCAGATTTTCTGACTGACCTTGGACAACCGAAAATCGCTCTGTGCTTTATTTCCTCTCTCTGTAAAATACCTATCTTGCAGTATTAATCAATGTTTGTAAAGATCCTTGAAATCCTTAGATAAAAGAGCACATTACAGAACATAGAGTAATTGGAATAGATATAGCCTATAAAATAGTGCAATCTACCAAACTTGTAAAGAAAAAGACGGGAAGAAAAAGCCCGGCCTATTAGCATGCTCAGTCCCCCAAGCAGTTTGTAAGGAACGTATCTAAACCTAGGAAATTATCTGTTGTCGAAGAAATGAGCCATTCAAGCCTTGATCGGGGTTCGTCTGTGGTTTTTGTGCCTTGAATATGTTCATGCAGTGCTTGGGTAGGTTTCTGTCCTCTTTGATTTGAAAATGTGCTTCAAGGGCCTGGGCTTTCTAATCCATAGGAATTCCCAGCCACGGAAGGAAAAACCTAAATTTGTCAAAAGCCTTACTATTTCTTATCATCTTTCTTCTTCTTCTTGCAGACATGCGTGTGTGATTCGAGGCCAGGTGATGACAGCAGATGGAACCCCTCTAGTTGGAGTGAACATCAGCTTTGTCAACAATCCTCTCTTTGGATACACAATCAGCAGACAAGATGGCAGGTAGGATGTCTTTATAGGATTTGCAGTGTTCAAGCAGCAGTTACAGCATTATTACCATAAATACTAAAGAGAAACTCCTTCCAAGAGCACATTTGTTGCTGACGCATTTTGAAGATGTTGCTGCATTGTTCTTAGTTGTTATGGGGCAGCATCTGGCTGGTGACCGGTCACCAGTGCTGTCCCTCGGGGTTCAATTCTAGGGCCAGTCCTGTTCAATGTATTTATCAATGATCTGGATGCAGGAGTTGAATGCACCATAGCAAGTCTGCTGATGGTACCAAACTGGGAGGTGCTGTTGACTCTCTTGAGGGATAAGAGGCCTTGCAGAGGGATCTAGATAGATTGGAGCACTGGGCAGTGATTACTGGGATAAAATTTAACAAGTCAAAATTCTGTATTCTGCACCTGGGATGGAGTAACACTGGGCATAGGTATAAATTGGGAGAGGGGTGGCTGGAGAGCAGCCCTGCAGAAGGGGTCTGGGGGTGCTGGATGGCAGCAGGGTCAGTATGAGCCCGCAAGGGTGCCCTGGCAGCCAAGAGGGCAAACTGCACCCTGGGGTGCATCAAACACAGGTAACCAGCCGGCCCAAAGCGGTGATTATCCTACTGTATTCAGCACTGGTGCAGCCTCCCCTGGAGTGCTCTGTGCAGTTCTGGGCCCCACAGTTTCACAAGGATGTGAATGGCCTTGACTGCATCCAGAGGAGGACAGTAAAGCTGACAGGGCTGGAAGGCGTGTCCTGTGAGGAGCGGCCAAGGGCTTTGGGCTTGTCTAGTTTGGAGAAAAAAGGAGGCTGAGGGGTGACCTCATTGCTCCCTGCAGCTCACTGAGGAGGGGAAGGGTAGAGGGAGGTTCTGAGCTCTTCTCCCTGGTATCCAGAGGGTGGGATGTGTGGGAATGGTTCAAAGCCATGCCAGGGAAGGTTTAAACTGGACATTAGGCAGCATTTCTTTACTGAGAGGTACTCAAACCCTGGACCAGGCTTCCTAGGGAGGTGGTCGATGTCCCAAGCCTGTCAGTGTTTAAGAGGCATTTGGACACTGCCCTTAATAATATGCTTGCACTTGGTCAGGCCTGAAGTGGTCAGGCAATTGGACTAGAAGATCGTTGTAGGTCCCTTTCAACTGAAACTATTCTATTCTTATTATTTATTAACTCCGAGATATCACCTAGAATTTTTAGCCAACAATTGGGCAATGCAGTGTCCATGCATGTAAAGAAAAGATGCCTCCTGCTCCCAACAGCTCTACTCTGTCTAATTCACATTGAAATGACCAGGAAGAAGTCATTAAGATTAAGGTTGTGTTAGAGGCAAGTGTTTAAAATCTGAGCAATCACACTGAACCAAAACAAAAGCATTGCAAATTGGGAAAGTCTTTCATCTTATCTTTTGTCTGTCAGTGCTAATTGGCTGCCTTTCTTTTCAGAACAAAAATGAAACATAAGGGGTTCCAGCTGCACATGCTCTATGTATTGACTCCTAACCACTAGCACTTGGGAGAGGATTTATAGATTTTAGCACCTCTCCAATCCACGACTTTCATTAAAGGTTTAACTTGGCTGGAGAAGCTGATAGAATTAGAAGGAAAGAGAGGAACATGTGCTAGCAACATGTGCCTAATGCTGCCTTATTGATGCTCAGGGGAGTTTGCACCTACTGTAACACTGCTGGTGACTAGGAGGCTTTCCGAGTGATGCTCCACCTCTTGGGTGACATGGCAATAAAATCCGGGTTAGTAAAGAGGCATCCCGGGAAAACTACTGTCTTCTTTGGGAAAAAAATGCCTCTGGAGTTGGTGCCTTTGTATTGCCCATAGCTTAGGCATAACTGCAAAAAGGAGAAGGTCCTGAACATTTATGAACGTTTATGCTCTGAGTATCTCTGCCAACCTTACTGAACCTACTCTGCATGAAAGTGAGATCCAAACTGCTGTCTCAAGATCAGATTGCTGTGTATAGACCAGCACAAAATCTGTGTCTATTAGAGCAGATAAATATGCCTGCAAAATTCCTGGGCAATATTGCCTTCTGTAATCTTTTTTCTTATCCGTTTCCATGTCCTATATACAATACCAAGCTACTATGTGTAATCTTTCATTTAGATGACAAGTACTCTGAGGAAGGGACCGTCTCTTTGCTTTGTGCTGTACCTAACACTGAGGGGCTTTATCTTAAACTGCACCTCTAGGCAGCAAAACCATAAGCTGAACAGGGTCAGAGCACAGAGGTGAGCACTGCTATCCGAGCTCCAGACTTCTCTAATACTTGAGTAACTATTTCTTTCCCATTTCTGGGTGTTGAAAGGCAAATCCCACCCTGCTATAAACCTACTTCCACTGGCAGTTCAAGCCAGGGATGTTCCTTTCACACGTCCTTCCCCACCTCCAGCTGAGCAGGGGACCCAGAGCAGAAAGCAATGCAGCTGGAGCATCAGTATGCTCCACCAGTCTTCAGTGGACTGCTGGTTCCTCGGGGCTGGCTGCCAGCCTCCAGAAGTTAAATTAGTTTCAAGGAGCTCAGGGCTGCAGTTTGCTGACTCAGCCCCCAACAGATACTCGGCTCCAAATGGTAAAAATGACAGAGATCAGCTGTCTCAGAGCAGGGAATCTGTGACCACGTGGAATTCATCCTGAAGCTGGGATTTCTGTTGGCAGCTGCTGGTGATCGGTCTAACCCCAGACTGGCGTGGTGTCAGCTCTTCTGATTTCACTTTCTTCACCTTCCTCTCAGTCTGTTTCTACAGACACCTTGTGCACATCTGGTGCACAACCAACATTCAACGATTTGTTCAGTGGCAGTACTGAGTCTCTGGGATCATAAAAATACCTTCCAAAATTGGCTGAGGCACACATGAAGGTATTTTCTCAAATGGACGGGCACAGCAGTGCATCTGTGGACTCTGGAGGTAATAAATGGGCAAGTGAAAGCCCTTCTCTTAAAGGACACCAAAATCCAGTGACTTCCTCAGTGGTGAGGTCTTCTAAAAATTACCTTGAAGTATTTAAGAGCATTCAGACTAAACTTGTCAGGGCAGAAAATGATGTCAGCCATCCCTTATTTCTAATCCTAGTCTCGTTACTGATTTAGTGGGTAGCATTAGATACATCTCTTAACCTTCCTCGGCCAGCCAACCAGCCTGTGAAAGGGAGATAACATTTCCTTGCCTTCCTCACAGACTGCTATAGCATTTATTAAATACTATTTGTAAAGCACTTCCAAAATCATGTAAAGAATTACTGCTATTACAGTTTCTATTATCTGTTTTGATGGTTTTCAGTAATTTTCTGAACAGAGCATGACGTGACTGCTCATCAGCTTGTTCGCACTGCAGTTTTTGTGGGATTGAGTCACTTTAAGAAGTTGATGCTCTTAAGCAAGAAGTAGTTTTTCTGAACTACAGGAGCAGACTGCATCCATTCCCTGTCAATAGCAGTGCACAGTCATATGGGGTCATCTGGACCATCTTCAGTGTCATTCTGCTTCGGAGAAAAATGGGAGCACGCATGCAAGCAGTTACCTTGTTCCAGGGGTTATGAGATAACTGCATAAAGCTCACTGGCTTTATTATTTGGCATATTCACCACAGGAATATCTATTCTTGAAAACGTGCACTGAGTTGCCTTAAATTGATTTAGCAAATCAGTTTACTGATAGCAGGGCAATAACTGTGGTTTTAAAGTAAGGGAGTTTAAAGACAGAATGGCATCAATTTAGCTAGATTGGTTCCTAAGTGGATTTTGTTGCTTCAGGTTTGGGGTTTTGGGTTGGGGTTTGGTTTTTTGGTGGTTTTTGTTTGTTTGTGGGGTTTTTTTTGACATGACCAAGTTTCGAAATGAGGTTCATAAGTAAAATTTCAGTTTTAGAATTATGGTGAACTGAATTTTTCACCCCTGTAAGTGGGTTGACTGTATTCCAGGCCTCTGCAAGTAGGTTTCCCACCTATTACAGTACTCAGATGAAGCCTCTAATAAGTGAAAACCTGGTCCTATTTAAGTCACATTACTTAGTCTGAGCAAAACTTTGATAACTTCAAGGCTTGCATGTGTTTTTAGCCTAATTACTGGGACACAGATTATTTTTTTTCAGATAACAAGGCATGGAGATGAAATAACAACTCTCAAACCACCGTTGTATGCATTTCTCTGTAAAGCAAAGTTAGTAGATGGATCAAAGTATCAATACTGGATTATAAACCACATTTTAAAATCAAGCTTTAAATTTGATTAAACTAGTAGTTTATGAAGGCTGCAAGTCTTCAATATCCCATGGTTTTAGGCACAGTGTTAATAAAACAGCACTATTTTTTTCAGGATTGTGTACATGCCATCACATTCAGCAACTTTGGCATGGCTATCTCAGAAGGACTAAATACATGGACTTCAGAGCAAAGAGATGAGAAAGGGTTACCCTTTTCTGTGTTTTTTTTTTAAAAAAAAAAAAAAAAAAAAAAAAAAAAAAAAAAAGCAATACGACTGTACAACAAGTATGATTTTTTTTAGCGTGATAAAAAAGACATCAGAGATCAGCAGAAAAAACAGAAATAAAATTACCTTGTTCCTTCAATCCCAAGATGGTTTTGCTCTCGTTAAATTTAATTTTACTAAGGGAAGCTGGGAAGAAGGTGTTTTCATTTTGGGTTTTTTCTGTTTGGTTTTAGCTTTTGTTCAGTTCATCAAGGTAACTTCAAAGCAGCGCCCTGTGACTCTGGGAAAACCAGCTCATGAGCGATGGCTCCTGCTAAAAAATACTGCCTGTCTTTGTTTTCACAGCTGCTAGAGCCTGACATGGAGGTGGTGCTTTCCCTTCTGCATCCTGTTTTGGGGATGCAGGAGAGACGAGGGTGTTTCCCCCCAGCAGGTTACCATCCTTGACCCAGGCTTAATGAAGCCAAGGAGTGAAACGGAGGTGCTTCCAAATAAAAATTCTTCCCACTTGCCTAAAAACTTGTTGAGCATCATTTGTACTGTTTGTTTCTTTCGTCCCGTTGCCCCTTTCAGTGCCCGGATTCATGCAGAGCAAGCTTCTCCCTCCTAGCTGAAGGGCTTGCCAAATGCTAATTGACTGTTAAAAATGTTCTCATCAAAGGACAAATGCTGTGCAGCTTTGCTGGCAGGGGCCAGCAAGTTACTCGTCAGGCTGTTGCAAGCCAGGCTCCATAGGTCTGGGAAGCTGATGGCCCCACTTGAGTGGTAGAATAAACATGTCTTTAGCTTTTTTAAATGCTTTCCACTCCCTCCCATGGATTCAATTTAAGATTCTTTCCTGAATAACTTTCTTTTCATAATTATATTTACTAAATGGCACCTCAGTCTTAGCGGCTATTAAAAAAAAAAAAAAAAAGTTTCTCCTGAATGATTGCTTGCCAAAGTTTTTTTTAGAAGTGGTTCATACCCGTTGTTGCTCCTCTGGGATTTTTGTAGCCAATCTGGAAGCCTCATAATTAATTTAAAAATTAATTTAAAATACTTTTTTCATCTTCTTTCTTACCTTGTAATTACAAAGTGCATCAAGTCTGTCTTTGGGCTATCAGAGAGCTTTCAGATCTTAGTTCTCATGTACAGAGAAGGACTTAAGCACGTGGCTCTTAAACACATGAGCAGCTCTGCTGAAGCCAGTGAAGCCTATTCAGATGCTTAAGTCTGTGTGAGACTGTCCTACACCAGCGCCAAGCATGGAAAGTGAGAAAACTTTCCTTGCCTGAAACACACATTTGGCATTACAGCTGAATAGATACTGAGAAAAAAAAAAAAAAAGTTTCTCCTGAATGATTGCTTGCCAAAGTTTTTTTTAGAAGTGGTTCATACCCGTTGTTGCTCCTCTGGGATTTTTGTAGCCAATCTGGAAGCCTCATAATTAATTTAAAAATTAATTTAAAATACTTTTTTCATCTTCTTTCTTACCTTGTAATTACAAAGTGCATCAAGTCTGTCTTTGGGCTATCAGAGAGCTTTCAGATCTTAGTTCTCATGTACAGAGAAGGACTTAAGCACGTGGCTCTTAAACACATGAGCAGCTCTGCTGAAGCCAGTGAAGCCTATTCAGATGCTTAAGTCTGTGTGAGACTGTCCTACACCAGCGCCAAGCATGGAAAGTGAGAAAACTTTCCTTGCCTGAAACATACATTTGGCATTACAGCTGAATAGATACTGAGAAAAAAAAAAAAAAAAAAAA